CTTTGATGCTGCAGCATATGTTGCAGGGGTGAGTATTAATATCAATATAATGATTGAGTGAGTAATTTAACGCCAATTTGAACCACAATAAATCTTTCAAAACGTGTATGGTAGACATGATGAGGAAATTTCCATAATTGACAGCCGACAGTGTGAAGTGACACGGTTGGCCGACCCAGTGCTTCACAGCCGACAGTGTGTGGTGACACAGCAGGCCGACCCACTGCTACACAGCCGACGGTGTGGAGTGACACGGCAGGCCGACCCAGTGCTACACAGCCGACAGTGTGAAGTGACACGGCAGGCCGACCAAAGTGCTACACAGCCGACGGTGTGGAGTGACACGGCAGGCCGACCCAGTGCTTCACAGCCGACAGTGTGTGATGACACGGCAGGCCGACCCACTGCTACACAGCCGACGGTGTGGAGTGACACGGCAGGCCGACCCAGTGCTACACAGCCGACAGTGTGAAGTGACACGGCAGGCCGACCCACTGCTACACAGCCGACGGTGTGGAGTGACACGGCAGGCCGACCCAGTGCTACACACCCGACAGTGTGAAGTGACACGGCAGGCCGACCCAGTGCTACACAGCCGACGGTGTGGAGTGACACGGCAGGCCGACCCAGTGCTTCACAGCCGACAGTGTGTGGTGACACGGCAGGCCGACCCACTGCTACACAGCCGACAGTGTGGAGTGACACGGCAGACCGACCCATTGATACAGCCGACAGTGTGTGGTGACACGGCAGGCCGACCCATTGATACAGCCGACAGTGTGTGGTGACACGGCAGGCCGACCCATTGATACAGCCGACAGTGTGTGGTGACACGGCAGGCGGACCCATTGATACACAGCCGACGGTGTGTGGAGACACGGCAGGCCGACCCACTGCTACACAGCCGACGGTGTGGAGTGACACGGCAGGCCGACCCATTGATACAGCCGACAGTGTGTGGTGACACGGCAGGCCGACCCATTGATACAGACGACAGTGTGTGGTGACACGGCAGGCCGACCCACTGCTTCACAGCCGACAGTGTGTGGTGACACGGCAGGCCGACCCACTGCTTCACAGCCGACAGTGTGAAGTGACACGGCAGGCCGACCCACTGCTACACAGCCGACAGTGTGTGGTGACACGGCAGGCCGACCCACTGCTACACAGCCGACAGAGTGGAGTGACACGGCAGACCGACCCATTGATACAGCCGACAGTGTGTGGTGACACGGCAGGCCGACCCATTGATACAGCCGACAGTGTGTGGTGACACGGCAGGCCGACCCATTGATACAGCCGACAGTGTGTGGTGACACGGCAGGCGGACCCATTGATACACAGCCGACGGTGTGTGGAGACACGGCAGGCCGACCCACTGCTACACAGCCGACGGTGTGGAGTGACACGGCAGGCCGACCCATTGATACAGCCGACAGTGTGTGGTGACACGGCAGGCCGACCCATTGATACAGACGACAGTGTGTGGTGACACGGCAGGCCGACCCACTGCTTCACAGCCGACAGTGTGAAGTGACACGGCAGGCCGACCCATTGATACAGCCGACGGTATGTGATACGGCAGGCCGACCCAGTGCTACACAGCCGACGGTGTGTTGAGACACGGCAGACCGACCCATTGATACGGCCGACGGTATGTGATACGGCAGGCCGACCCAGTGCTACACAGCCGACGGTGTGTTGAGACACGGCAGACCGACCCATTGATACGGCCGACGGTATGTGATACGGCAGGCCGACCTACTGCTACACAGCCGACAGTGTGTTGAGACACAGCAGACCGACCCATTGATACGGCCGACGGTGTGTGATACGGCAGGCCGACCCACTGCTACACAGCCGACGGTGTGTGGAGACACGGCAGGCCGACTTACTGCTAAACAGCCGACGGTGTCTGGTGACACGACAAGGCGGTCCAAGTGCTACACACCCGACGGTATGTGGTGACACGGCAGGCCGACCCACTGCTACACAGCCGACGGTGTGGAGTGACACGGCAGGCCGACCCAGTGCTACACACCCGACAGTGTGAAGTGACACGGCAGGCCGACCCAGTGCTACACAGCCGACGGTGTGGAGTGACACGGCAGGCCGACCCAGTGCTTCACAGCCGTCAGTGTGTGGTGACACGGCAGGCCGACCCACTGCTACACAGCCGACGGTGTGGAGTGACACGGCAGGCCCACCCAGTGCTACACAGCCGACAGTGTGAAGTGACACGGCAGGCCGACCCACTGCTACACAGCCGACGGTGTGGAGTGACACGGCAGGCCGACCCAGTGCTACACACCCGACAGTGTGAAGTGACACGGCAGGCCGACCCAGTGCTACACAGCCGACGGTGTGGAGTGACACGGCAGGCCGACCCAGTGCTTCACAGCCGACAGTGTGTGGTGACACGGCAGGCCGACCCACTGCTACACAGCCGACGGTGTGGAGTGACACGGCAGGCCGACCCAGTGCTTCACAGCCGACAGTGTGTGGTGACACGGCAGGCCGACCCACTGCTTCACATCCGACGGTGTGGAGTGACACGGCAGGCCGACCCAGTGCTTCACATCCGACGGTGTGGAGTGACACGGCAGGCCGACCCAGTGCTTCACATCCGACGGTGTGGAGTGACACGGCAGGCCGACCCAGTGCTACACATCCGACGGTGTGTGGAGACACGACAGGTCGACCCACTGCTACACACCCGACGGTGTGTGGAAACACCGCAGGCCAATCCATTGGTACAGCCGACGGTGTGTGATACGGCAGGCCGACCCACTGCTACACAGCCGACGGTGTGTGATACGGCAGGCCGACCCACAACAAGCCCGTGTCTACATATGCAGATATTGCAAGCATTAATTACACTGTGGCATTGATTCTGTCTTTAATGTCCCATACAGAGACAAGGACCTGCTCGTTCTATTAAGGATAAGATCAACGTAATCACAGATTCGACAGCCAATCGCAATGAAGCCAAAGAAAAACGGGCAATAGAAGTACTCGAGTAACGGAAATACGGGTAGCAAAAATACAAGTAACAGAAACATGGATAACAGAAGTACGGGTAACAGAAATACAGGTAACAGAAACATGGGTAACAGAAGTACTGGTAACAGAAACATGGGTAACAGAAGTACTGGTAACAAAAATACAGGTAACAGAAACATGGGTAACAGAAGTACGGGTAACAGTAATACAGGTAACAGAAACATTGGTAACATAAGTACGGGTAACAGAAATACGGGTAACAAAAATACAGGTAACAGAAACATGGGTAACAGATGTACGGGTAACAGTAATACAGGTAACTGAAGCCTGGGTAACAGAAGTACGGGTAACAGTAATACAGGTAACTGAAACATGGGTAACAGAAGTACGGGTAACAGAAATACGGGTAACAAAAAAAACAGGTAACAGAAACATGGGTAAAAGAAGTACGGGTAACAAAAATACAGGTAACATAAGTACGGGTAACAGAAGTACGGGTAACAGAAATACAGGCAACAGAAACATGGGAAACAGAAGTACGGGTAACAGAAATACAGGTAACAGAAATACAGGTAACAGAAACATGGGTAAAAGAAGTACGGGTAACAGAAATACAGGTAACAGAAACATGGGTAACAGAAGTTCGGGTAACAGAAATACAGGTAACAGAAACATGGGTAACAGAAGTTCGGGTAACAGAAATACAGGTAACAGAAACATGGGAAACAGAAGTTCGGGTAACAGAAACATGGTAACAGAAATACAGGTAACAGAAACATGGTAACAGAAGTACGGGTTACAGAAATACAGGTAACAGAAACATGGGTAACAGAAGTACGGGTAACAGAAATACGGGTAGCAAAATACAGGTAACAGAAACATGGGTAACAGAAGTACGGGTAACAGAAATACAGGTAACAGAAACATGGGTAACAGAAGTACGGGTAACAGAAATACGGGTAGCAAAATACAGGTAACAGAAACAAGGGTTACAAAAGTACGGGTAACAGAAATACAGGTAACAGAAACATGGGTAACAGAAGTACGGGTAACAGAAATACGGGTAGCAAAATACAGGTAACAGAAACATGGGTAACAGAAGTACGGGTAACAGAAAAACAGATAACAGAAATACAGGTAACAGAAACATGGGTAACAGAAGTACGGGTAACAGTAATACAGGTAACAGAAACATGGGTAACATAAGTACGGGTAACAGAAATACGGGTAGCAAAATACAGGTAACAGAAACATGGGAAACAGAAGTACGGGTTACAGAAATACAGGTAACAGAAATACAGGTAACAGAAACATGGGTAACAGAAGTACGGGTAACAGAAATACAGGTAACAGAAATACAGGTAACAGAAACATGGGTAACAGAAGTACGGGTAACAGTAATACAGGTAACAGAAACATGGGTAACATAAGTACGGGTAACAGAAATACGGGTAGCAAAATACAGGTAACAGAAACATGGGAAACAGAAGTACGGGCAACAGAAATACAGGTAACAGAAATACAGGTAACAGAAACATGGGAAACAGAAGTACGGGTAACAGAAATACAGGTAACAGAAACATGGGTAACAGAAGTACGGGTAACAGTAATACAGGTAACAGAAACATGCTAACAGTAATACAGGTAACAGAAACATGGGTAACATGAGTACGGGTAACAGAAGTACGGGTACGAAAATGCAGGTAACAGAAACATGGGTTACAAAAGTACGGGTAAAAAAATACAGGTAACAGAAGTACGGGTAACAGAAACGCGGGTAACAGAAAAACAGGTAATAGAAGTACGGGTATGGAATTACGGGTAACAACAAACATGTAACATAAATCAGTAATACAGCTAACATAAGTAACTTTCAAAAGATATACAAGCGGACATACATGTCAACAGAAGTACAAATACAAAAACACAATACATATGCGCGCCCTGCTAGTGCTCAAGTATTGCTAAAAGTTTCGTAAAATCTATAACTCGAAATGACCGTCCCCTCCAAGGGACGTAACTCATCGAGTCAGTAGGACGTTCGCCATTCCAAATACAACAACAATATTTCAGTAAGCACCCAGTTGTAACGATGTCGCATGCAGCAGCCAGAGTCCTGTCACTTGTGTCCAGATCGGTGGTAAGTGTTCATGATAGGTTATTTGTTGTATTGTCCTGTCCCATTAGTAGATACTTGATTCGTTAATCACACTTTCCATCCAAAGACAACAGATGAATATTTTACGAAACATCGAACAATTACAATGTCGGGGAGCAGTAATTGTTTAGGTTTTGTTTCCATTATATTTCAGGCACGATCTTGCATCAGGACACTGAAGTCGTCCCCATCTTCACAGGTACTTCTCATGGAACATGTGTGGCAACAAAATTTCATCTAGATGTGTGATATGCAGCAATGTGTCGGAACAGAGACCATATACACATAGGCCAGGATCTGTGGTCTATACAACGTTTAGGTGCAATATGTTATAAGGCTGGGACAGGTAACCTGGGTTGGCTGGGTACTGAGAAGGACCCGGGTACCCACAGGACTACCCGGACCTGTGGTTAGTCATGTGAAATATTGTATAAAGACTAAAAATATCTAGAACTCGATGAAATAATGAAAGATGCAGTCTCGATGGTTTTATGTGGCCAAAGTATCTGTAAAACTGCGAAACAGTTTGACATATATAAGGCAACACTACAAAGGTGTGTCAAAATGGCTAAGTCTCAAGGCCTTCATTCCATACGCCTTACACCTGCCTATGATAACAGCAGGATTTTCTCTGATGCCGAAGAAAACGAACTCGCTAAATACCTTATAAAGGCATATGCACATAGGCCGAGGCTGTCTATATAGTCTGTGGTCTAAACAACGTTTAGGTGCAATATGTTATAGGGCTGGGACGGGTAACTCGGGTTGGATGGGTACTGAGAAGGACCCGGGTACCTACAGGGCTACCCGGAGCTGTGGTTAGTCATGTGATATATTTATATTGACAAAAATTATCTAGAACTCTATGGTTACACTGTGATATATTTATATTGACAAAAATTATCTAGAACTCTAAGGTTACACTACAAGTCACCAATGTTGGCATTTCTTTCTGACTATGCACAAATTCCTTCTGACTCTTATGTTTGAATAAAGATAAAACTTCAGTCAACTTCAGAGTATGCATTACCAGATCGTTTTAAACGTGCATCTAAATTCATTGAGACCTACAGAGGGTACCTGGGTAGGGTCGGGTAATAGGAGGGTGGGTACCCGGGTAGTAAATTTGGACTTGTCCCAGACCTAATATGTTATTTCTGCCCTAGAACTAGTAGTACTAGTAATATTTTGCACCAACAATGTATCTTCTGTTATGAATACACAGGAATAGCTCCATTACTTGCATAAGAACTGTGTTTTCTGAAAATGATTATTAACACCCATTGGTCCAAGGGAGACAACTAGGGATGGACGCATTTGTCACATTTTCCAGATATTTTGGAAAAATATGCAAAGTGACACTCATTTCTTTTAAATAAAGTATCAAAATCAAAATAAAACCTTAGAATAATCTTTATAAATCCCTATTGCAGAGTTAGCCATAGAACCGTGTGATGTGATGGTGTGTACATTGCAGGCCTGGAAAGTGGGCAAGGTGAACCACATCGCCATAGCTGTCCCAGATCTGGAGAAAGCCACCAGCCTGTACCGAGATGTGCTGGGAGCAAGAGTCAGTGACAAGCAGGTACAGGACAGTACCAATGTTTCTGCTGCAATGTTTTGGTCCCTGGGTTTGGCGGTTTCCGTACAATCAGCCTTCAGGTTCACTCAGCCTAGTCAGCTGACTGCACAATGTCTCGGACAGCAGTGGAGGAATTATATCGCATGAGTTCTCTGTAAACACAAGGCCCAGGCACATCTGGTTTGTAGAACGTAACAACTGGGAAGATTTTGTCCCATGCTTTTCAGAATTTAGGTGTACACTTTGATGTCAACACTTTAGCAAATGGATACAAATTAGAGACTGGTCAATTATTACAGGGTAGGGGGCCAGTCGATGAGATTTGCTCCCCCCATTCAATTTTTTCATCACAACCCCTACTGAATCTCCCTGGCCCCCTCCCCTATAATAAATTACCAAGGCCCTGTTCCACAAAGCGATCATAGCGCTAAGACGATTGTAACTCCCATACTTTAAAACAGACCCATGGCAGTCTTAGCGCTACGATCATGGAACAGGGCCCAGTCCCTTATATTGAACAGTCTATGATTGCTGTTTGTTAATGTTCTATCATGTTCTATCATTCACAGTGTTAGTTCGAAAAGGGATTCTTGACAATGCTTGATGTTTGATTGGTTCGATGCACATGTGAACATACAAGTATGTTGTATGAACCGATGCTCTAGATGCACCATTTGTGTAAAGTTTGGAAATCACATGCAGCATATCGTGATACGGATAAGGACACTCTGTGGTAACACTTTACTGATTGTTAGATTTGTCATTAAGTGGTACACGATGAAAACATCTCTTCGTCACGTACATACTTCTCCAAATGTTTCTATCATTTGCGTTTCTTTTGGCGGTGAGTATATACTAGTATATACATTATCTATATGTTAATTATTTATATTTCAGTCCCTTGTTTCAAACAAAACACGACCGCCTCCGTGGTCTTGTGGTAGAGCGTCCGCCCGGAGAGCGGAAGGTCCGGGGTTTGATCCCCGGCCGCGTCATACCAAAAGACGTTAAAAGATGGTACTTGTTGTTAGCCTGTCTGGCGCTCGGCATTAAGGGGCTAAAACAAGGACTGGTCGGCTCCGAGTCAGTATACTGTGTCTGAGTGGGGTATTCATGTTAAACTGCGGCATGGTATCTCAGTGAGCTAGCACTATAAATCGGCATCAGTCCGGACTAGTACAAGCAGCCACACAAACACACACACGTACATGCACGTCGCTATATAAGTGCAATAATCTTGGACGCGACGTTAAACCCAATTTCACCTCACCTCACCTCAAACAAAACACAATGACTGAATGAAAAAAATTAGAAATGGTCATTCTGAACTTTGATTGTTTCACATGAAAATAGAAATGTCAAGTAAACATTATGTGCATGCTACAATTCAACTAGTTTTAGAGATTCAACACATTATTATGCATACCATGTGAGTCCTCGTGCATGCCATGTGACTAAATGCATACCATGTGACCCATGCATTCCATGTGAGTCCTCGTGCATACCATGTGACTAAATGCATACCATGTGACTCATGCATTCCATGTGAGTCCTTGTGCATACCATGTGAGTCCTCGTGCATACTATGTCACTATATGCATACCATGTGACTCATGCATTCAATGTGAGTCCTAGTGCATACCATGTGACTAAATGCATTCCATGTGACTCGTGCATACCATGTGACTAAATGCATACCATGTGACTCGTGCATACCATGTGACTTAATGCATACCATGTGACTAAATGCATACCATGTGACTCATGCATAACATGTGACTAAATGCATACCATGTGACTCATGCATACCATGTGACTAAATGCATACCATGTGACTCATGCATAACATGTGACTAAATGCATACCATGTGACTCATGCATACCATGTGACTAAATGCATACCATGTGACTCATGCATAACATGTGAGCCCTCTTGCATACCATGTGACTCATGTATACCATGTGACTCGTGCATACTGTGACTAAATGCATACCATGTGATTCATGCATACCATGTGACTCGTGCATACTATGTGACTAAATGCATACCATGTGACTCATGCATACCATGTGACTCGTGCATACCATGTGAGTCCTTGTGCATACCATGTGGCTAAATGCATACCATGTGACTCGTGCATACCATGTGACTAAATGCATACCATGTGACTCGTGCATACCATGTGACAATGCATACCATGTGACTCGTGCATACCATGTGAGCCATCATGCATACCATGTGACTCATGCATACCATGTGACTCATGCATACTATGTGACTTAATGCATACTATGTGACTCATGCATACCACAGAACTACAGATAAGCTGTGTATTTAAGTAAAATACCCCCCAAAATGTTCAAAACCCAATTACTTTCAATTAACTTGCGTACAGAAATGCATGCATTAAATGTAAAACTCAAATGTATAAAAACAGCATGTGTAATTACCCAACCCTTTTCAGCATGCGTACAACAGAGCTAATTTCCGAAACACAATTACGAGCTAATTTACTTTCGGAGTCAAGCATTTAGTAAGAACCCTTATATACATCAAAAGCGTTATTATATAATGTAAGCTCATTTGGGGATAAACCCAATAGAGTGATGATTAGATGAATGAAAAAGTATTGGTTACCCAATGAAACATGTAATAACCCAATTAAAAAAGAAACCTTTGAGTAGAAACTCAATTGCTAAAAAAGTTATCTGGAGCTCTGTACCATGTGACTCATGCATACCATGTGAGTCATCGTTCTTATTACTATATTTATTCTGCAAGAGAACAAGAATGGTCACCTAATTGTGATAGGGATGACTTTTACATTGTTTAGTGCACAGTAAATCCATTTATTGCTTATGAATACATTTCATTTGTTGAGTATGGTCAGGAACAATACTAAACGAGAAGTCCGAGAAATAAAGGTAAAAAGAAAACACACCAGTCTGCTCAGGGTGACAGTTAGCCCTGCAGCCAGTAAGCAGTGGCACACAGGCCTCTCTTACACTCATCCCTCTCCTCCTGGGAGAGGCCTTGCTGTCTGTGATGCCTGGCTGTTGGTGATGCCTGGCTGTCTGTGATGCCTGGCTGTCTGTGTGATGCCTGGCTATCTGTCTGTGATGCCTGGCTGCCTGTGATGCGTGGCTGTCTGCCTGTGATGCCTGGCTGTCTGTCTGTGATGCCTGGCTGCCTGTGATGCCTGGCTATCTGTCTGTGATGCCTGGCTGTCTGTGATGCCTGGCTGCCTGTGATGCGTGGCTGTCTGCCTGTGATGCCTGGCTGTCTGTGATGCCTGGCTGTCTGTCTGTGATGCCTGGCTGCCTGTGATGCGTGGCTATCTGTCTGTGATGCCTGGCTGTCTGTGATGCCTGGCTGTCTGTCTGTGATGGCTGTCTGTCTGTGATGCCTGGCTGTCTGCCTGTGATGCCTGGCTGTCTGTGATGCCTGGCTGTCGGTGATGCCTGGCTGTCTGTGATGCCTGGCTGTCGATGATGCCCGGCTGTCTGTCTGTGATGCCTGGCTGTCTGTGATACCTGTCTGCCTGTGATGCCTTGCTATCGGTGATGCCTGGCTGTCTGCCTGTGATGCCTAGCTGTCTGCCTGTGATACCTGGCTGTCTGTGATGCCTTGCTGTCTGTGATGTCTGTCTGTGATGCCTGGCTGTCTGTCTGTGATGCCTTGCTGTCTGTGATGGCTGTCTGTCTGTGATGCCTGGCTGTCTGTGATGCCTGGCTGTCTGTCTGTGATGCCTGGCTGTCTGTCTGTGATGGCTGTCTGCCTGGCTGTCTGTGATGCCTGGCTGTCGGTGATGCCTGGCTGTCGGTGATGCCTGGCTGTCTGTCTGTGATGCCTAGCTGTCTGCCTGTGATACCTGGCTGTCTGTGATGCCTTGCTGTCTGTGATGTCTGTCTGTGATGCCTGGCTGTCTGTCTGTGATGCCTTGCTGTCTGTGATGGCTGTCTGTCTGTGATGCCTGGCTGTCTGTGATGCCTGGCTGTCTGTCTGTGATGCCTGGCTGTCTGCCTGTGATGCCTGGCTGTCTGTGATGTCTGTCTGTGATGCCTGGCTGTCTGTCTGTGATGCCTTGCTGTCTGTGATGGCTGTCTGTCTGTGATGCCTGGCTGTCTGTGATGCCTGGCTGTCTATCTGTGATGCCTGGCTGTCTGTGATGCCTGGCTGTCTGTGATGCCTGGCTGTCTGTGATGCCTGGCTGTCTGTGATGCCTGGCTGTCTGTCTGTGATGCCTAGCTGTCTGCCTGTGATGCATGGCTGTCTGCCTGTGATGCCTGGCTGTCTGCCTGTGATGCCTGGCTGTCTGCCTGTGATGCCTGGCTGTCGGTGATGCCTGGCTGTCTGTGATGCTTGGCTGTCTGTGATGCGTGACTGTCGGTGATGCCTGGCTGTCTGTGATGCCTGGCTATCAATGATACCTGTCTGTCTGTCTGTGATGCCTTGCTGTCTGTGATGCCTGGCTGTCTGTGATGCCTGGCTGTCTGTGATGCCTGGCTGTCGGTGATGCCTGTCTGTCTGTGATGCCTGGCTGTCTGTGATGCCTGGCTGTCAGTGATGCCTGGCTGTCGGTGATGCCTGGCTGTCTGTGATGCCTGGCTTTCTGTCTGTGATGCCTGGCTGTTGGTGATGCCTTGCTGTCTGTGATGCCTGGCTATCGGTGATGCCTGTCTGTCTGGCTGTCTGTGATGCCTTGCTGTCTGTGATGCCTGGCTGTCTGTGATGCCTGGCTGTCTGTGATGCCTGGCTGTCGGTGATGCCTGTCTGTCTGTGATGCCTGGCTGTCTGTGATGCCTGGCTGTCAGTGATGCCTGGCTGTCGGTGATGCCTGGCTGTCTGTGATGCCTGGCTTTCTGTTTGTGATGCCTGGCTGTTGGTGATGCCTTGCTGTCTGTGATGCCTGGCTATCGGTGATGCCTGTCTGTCTGGCTGTCTGTGATGCCTTGCTGTCTGTGATGCCTGGCTGTCTGTGATGCCTGGCTATAGGTGATGCCTGGCTGTCTGTCTGTGATGCCTTGCTGTCTGTGATGGCTGTCTGTCTGTGATGCCTGGCTGTCTGTGATGCCTGGCTGTCTGTGATGCCTGGCTGTCTGTTGGTGATGCCTGTCTGTCTGTGATGCATGGCTGTCTGTGATGCCTGGCTGTCTGTGATGCCTGGCTGTCGGTGATGCCTGTCTGTCTGTGATGCCTGGCTGTCTGTGATGCCTGGCTGTCAGTGATGCCTGGCTGTCGGTGATGCCTGGCTGTCTGTGATGCCTGGCTTTCTGTCTGTGATGCCTGGCTGTTGGTGATGCCTTGCTGTCTGTGATGCCTGGCTATCGGTGATGCCTGTCTGTCTGGCTGTCTGTGATGCCTTGCTGTCTGTGATGCCTGGCTGTCTGTGATGCCTGGCTGTCTGTGATGCCTGGCTGTCGGTGATGCCTGTCTGTCTGTGATGCCTGGCTGTCTGTGATGCCTGGCTGTCAGTGATGCCTGGCTGTCGGTGATGCCTGGCTGTCTGTGATGCCTGGCTTTCTGTTTGTGATGCCTGGCTGTTGGTGATGCCTTGCTGTCTGTGATGCCTGGCTATCGGTGATGCCTGTCTGTCTGGCTGTCTGTGATGCCTTGCTGTCTGTGATGCCTGGCTGTCTGTGATGCCTGGCTATAGGTGATGCCTGGCTGTCTGTCTGTGATGCCTTGCTGTCTGTGATGGCTGTCTGTCTGTGATGCCTGGCTGTCTGTGATGCCTGGCTGTCTGTGATGCCTGGCTGTCTGTTGGTGATGCCTGTCTGTCTGTGATGCATGGCTGTCTGTGATGCCTGCATGGCTGACTGTGATGCCTGCTGGTGATGAGAGATGGTGATGTAATGGTTTTGAGCAGAGATGGTAACTTGAATAACTAATAAGAGCAGTATCTTGCTCACAACCGTCTATTGTCTTGTGGTCACAGTTGAGCTGACAATCCTGTTATGAATATTCCTGTTGCCCTTCCCCTTTCATCAGTGGTCAAACAAGTCATTGTTTCTCGGTTGGCAGTGGAAAAGCCAATACGAAAGAAGCAGCAACTCAAATGTTTTTCTGGTTATGAAAATATGTGAGAGCACACATGTCAGCTAAGGAACATTTTGCACATGTAATTTTATGTTTTGTTTGAACTGCACAGTGCGTCACCAAAATGCATTTCCACCCTTCCCTGTATATTTAACATCTTTCTGACTTATCGTTATGTTTATGCCAGGTAAATCTTCCCGAGGCAAGGGTGTTAACTGACAACGAAAGTACAGCTTCCTCCCCTGCCATACTACGCTGGAATCAGATTCCTCCTCTCATTTCCCTCAAACAAAATGGCGGTGACCTTTAGGCACCTTGATAAAAAACATAAAACGATTTGAAAAATATATGTCGACGCCCAGTAAAGGGTACACACTTTGCAAATGGTGCAGTCAACGGAAATCTGTCCAGAAATCTTGTTCGGCAAGGGTGGAAACTGGACTTTTACAGTCAGTTACCTCCCCTGCCTCGGGAACACATGCCAAATATTATACATGCCGACATTCATTTGCCTTTCAATATAGAAGAAGAAATCGACAGTGAATCTTTCAGTTAATATGATGAAAGGAAGTTGATGTACAGTAAATATCAGGAATATCTATCTTGTGACAACCCGTTTCTGCCACAGCCACAGCCCGATCATGGAGTCTACACCGTATTTGTGGAACTTGGGGATACAAAGATAGAGGTAGGTAATCTTGCCTTGTGTAGCGGCCATAACATTTCCGAGTCCCGTGATGGGATTTGAACCACGGACCTTCTGATCAGAGGTCGGATGCCTTGTCCACATGACCAAAGAGGTTAACCCCGTCAGCAAGCTAACAAGGTAAGGATGTCATCTGTGGGATGACTCCACGCCCTGCTACGCTTGCATGGTGCAGGGTTTGTCCAAGACTGATCATATTGTGTAAATGATTAATGACGTATATCACCACTGACTCCTTGGGTATTCCAGGTTGCAGTAGGTTACCAAGCATGTATGGTGCCAGCTGTGTCAGGCTGCTTTATTTGTCTGCACTGTATCAAGGACATGTTGAACAAAGGTATCCTATGACAATGAGCCCAAAGTAAGGTATATGTTTGCTAAGTTAGGTGTATTGACATGGCTAAACCTACATGTCGGCTTACTATTCATTCAGTCCTAAATATATTCAGCCTAACTGAAACTCATTCACCACAGTGTCAAAATTGTTGAGAAATGTCTTGAACAACATATCAAGTTATTTCCTTGTGTTTTAGTTCTTGCTCCCTGATTGGAGACAAAACACTTTATCACATTGTCATTCATGGAATGTGAGCTTCTGTACCTGTAGTAGTCTGGTATTAATACTGCTAAGCTTGCACCTGTATGTCATGTTGCCAGTTGCTGAACCCACTGGGAGACAAGAGCCCGATACAGAACTTCCTGGACAAGAACAAGAGTGGAGGGATGCACCATATCTGTATTGAGGTAACAGATATAATCACAGGGCCCTCCTACATTACAACAGTAGCATTTCTGTACCTGATTTCACCTTAAAGTGACAGACAGCACCTAGTGATGAACTTAACATTATGACATTGATGAAATGATACAAGCAGGTAGGGCTGGGACGGGTATCTCGGGTACTCAGGTCGGGTGGGTACCGAGTAGGCCCCGGGTACCCACAGGACTACCCAGACCCGTAGTTAGTCATGTGATATATTGTTTAATGACAACAATTATCGAAAACTCCATGGCATCAAAACAAGTCACTAATGTTCGCATTTGTTTCTGACTATGAATGTATTCCTTCTGATCCCCACCTATTGCCAACAAGGACTGACAAGAGCTGATATGTTTGAAAAAAGACACAACAACTTCATTGAATGCATGACCAGATTGTTTTATATCTAAATACATTTTGCCAAGGCTATGATCAAACTATTCCCAATCAGACATTTTGTACCAATGTCTTGAGACCTACAGTGGGTACCTGGGGAGGGTAGAGTAATAGGGGTTGGGTACCTGGGTAGTAAATTTTGACTCATCTCAGCCCTAAAGCAAAAATATTTTCATGTTTGGGCACCTTGGAGCAAATTGTTAAAATGACAGCTACCCGAAATCCAAGATGGCCACCAATTGTTTTCGAATGATCATTCTATACAGCTTAATACTCTGTCATAATACGAGTCATAATCTGCTATGATATGCTCTTGCATATTCTGGTGAGCATACACAGCCGCCATATTTCTTTCCATCTACATCAATTGCATACATAGATCAATATATGCTATTTCTATAGAACTTATAGCCATAAATGTATCTGTACCGTGACTGATCCAGACTATATATCTTGATCAATACCTTCACATTGTGCTGATGTGTGCACCTGCAGGATCATGTGCAATTAATGTGACAGGGAAAACATGGGAGCCATTCTGTCACGCATCTACAGTGGATGAATTCCTCGACAGCTCTTGTCAGTCCTTGTTGGCAATAGGTGGGGATCAGCTCCTGTCAGGCCTTGTTGGCAATAGTTGGGGATCAGCTCCTGTCAGTCCTTGTTGGCAATAGGTGGGGATCAGTTCCTGTCAGTCCTTGTTGGCAATAGGTGGGGATCAGCTCCTGTCAGTCCTTGTTGGCAATAGGTTGGGATCAGTTCCTGTCAGTCCTTGTTGGCAATAGGTGGGGATCAGTTCCTGTCAGTCCTTGTTGGCAATAGTTGGGGATCAGCTCCTGTCAGTCCTTGTTGGCAATAGGTGGGGATCAGCTCCTGTCAGTCCTTGTTGGCAATAGGTTGGGATCAGTTCCTGTCAGTCCTTGTTGGCAATAGGTGGGGATCAGCTCCTGTCAGTCCTTGTTGGCAATAGGTGGGGATCAGTTCCTGTCAGTCCTTGTTGGAAATAGGTGGGGATCAGCTCCTGTCAGTCCTTGTTGGCAATAAGTTGGGATCAGTTCCTGTCAGTCCTTGTTGGCAATAGGTGGGAATCAGTTCCTGTCAGTCCTTGTTGGCAATAGGTGGGGATCAGCTCCTGTCAGTCCTTGTTGGCAATAGGTGGGGATCCTGGGTTAGAATAGGTCCCCAGCAACCTGTACTTGTGTGAGGCCACAACATAAATGGGGTGGTCAGGCTCGGTGATGTGTTTTGATTGAGTGTCATTGTATCCCAACAGTGTGGGACATTGCTCATTACATCATCGGCTTAACCAAATTTGATTATTTATAATCAAATGTCCTAAAGTTGAGTGAGTGAGTATGGTTTTACGCCGCTTTTAGCAATATTCCAGCAATATCACAGCGGGGGACACCAGAAATGGGCTTCACACAATGTACCCGGGTCTTCGGCGTGACGAGCGAACGCTTTAACCGCTATAGCTACCCGACCGCCCCTGTCCTAAAGTTTAAATATTGCTTCATGCAGCGAAAACATCAAATAACAATAGGTGAAGTCGAAAATCAGGGCTTCATTTAGCTATATAAAACATGTACCAGTGCAATCTGTTATTGAAAAATGCAACATAACATTAATGTCTACATGCACCAAGTATTATTATAATAAGCCTCTTTATTGTGTCATTCCACTCAAGTGAATGCTCATGGTGCTACATTGTTATTATTAGATCTGTGTGCACTTGTTTTTCATTCTCTGCTCCCTTTATGACCAAAATGATTCATGGCCTAAATCTATCCATGTTTTTGTCAAAATCTGTCTGTCAGCGAAGTTGATTGCCCTTTGTCTTTTGTTCCACTACTGCTTGTTTGGAATACCCAATAGCACAGGATCGAAAGTGAAATATTGAAATTAATGCGAGCGGGAATTAAATGCAAAAAATGCGAGTGGTCATTGCTCGCATTATCAAACATTGCATTTATATCGACAATGAGACATTTTGGGTAGCAGAAATACCAACTAAGACATACGCTGAAAACAAACAATTATGTATTCCACACTACTGTTTATTGAGCAGCAAGTATATAAACAATGTCATTCCAACACTAATTACATCCTGTGAATTGTCACTGCTGGGGTCAAGACAAGAATTCTACTCACTTATGTCATCACTGATCACACCTGCAAGTGCAGACAGACGCCACCCAACACAGTGTGTTTGTTCTTTGTGACTGCGTCAAAGGCCGACACGAGCCAGCAAGCATGTATTGTTTCAGCTGAAGTACTCTACTCAGCGCTAATAAGCAGTGCTATTTGGTGTGTGATTGGATTAATGTGAGGATTCTCCTGTAAACCTGACAGAGGACGTTTTCTTTAGATATAAATCCACTGATGCTTGAGAGGAGGGGGTGTCGCATTCATATTGAGTTCATTTTTGGCTAGGGGCCAATGCTCGCATTCTTTTGGAGACATATTAATTTCACGATTTACAGTATATATCCAAGGTCATTTGACATGGATTAAGTCATTCATATAAACTACAGTAATAAGGAGAAGTTACATAGTTGCACAGCTCGTTCAGGATGGCTTGAGTAATGGTAATTAAGTGATTCTAGACATTTGTACTCACGACATGTCATTGAGACAAGGCTTATCCCCAATCGGTCACTGTGACATTCTGGTTAAAACAGAACTACCTTTCATATGAAAATTCTACCAAGATGTATTCAAGTGAGTGAGTGAGTGAGTGAGTGAGTGAGTATGGTTTTATGCAGCTTTTAGCAATATTCCAGCAATATCATGGCGGGGGACACCAGAAATGGGCTTCACACATTGTACCCATGTCGGGAATCGAACCTGGGTCTTCTGCTGTATCAAAGCCAAAAGTAAAACTTCAGTGTGTATTTTTGTACAGGTTATATAGGCACATTTTCACCATGTACTGTTTATGTTGATATTTTCAGGTTGACAATATTAAGGAAGCAATGAAAGACTTGAAGTCAAGAAATATTCGCTGTTTGACAGAAGATGCTAAGATTGGAGCTCACGGAAAGCCTGTGGTCTTCCTACACCCAAAAGACTGTAATGGAGTTCTTGTGGAACTGGAAGAAGCATAGGCTGGATGGAGAGGGCAGTTGGTGGGAGGGACCGAGAGGAGTTGGTGGTGGGTGGGCAGAGATCAGAGATGAGTTGGCTTGATGTGATGGAGGGGTAAGGAGGAGTAGGGAACTGGGTTTGATTGGCGGAGCTAAGAGGAGTAGGGAGTTGGTCTTGTTTGGAGCAGATAAGAGGAAAGTTGGGTTTGGTGGGCGGGGCCAAGATGAGAGGGGAGTCAGATTTGTTGGTGTGGCTGAGATTAGAAGGGAGTTGGTTTTGGAGGGTGGGGTGGGGCTAAGATGAGTGGGGAGTTTGTCTTGATGGGAGGGGATAAGAGTGGTGTGGTCTTGTCGGGAGGGGATAAGAGGAGAGAATAGTTGCGTTGGTGGTTGGGGTAGAGCTGCGGTGTCATCAGTATTTATAGGTTGTATGCCAATAATGAGATTAAAGTGTGATAAGTGTATGTATGAAAATGTCCTACAGTTGAAAATATATATATGTACATGTGTTCAGTTTTCTTGTTGTGTTCTTTATCCAGTAAGATATATGGGCGTCTGACTGGAGACCATGGATACCTGATCTGATAAAAGACCATCACTTCCTCAGATCCAGCTTTGTACATGTACATCAAGTGGTATCGTCATTATGTCGCCCCCTAAAGTCAGGGGAGACATATTGTTTTTGTCTTGGTTCTTGTTGACCTTGTCGGTGTTAAGTTGAAAACTGATCATTGTTTTTCAGTGAAACTTTGCATTTGTATTGCTCATCAGCTAAACTGGTACTTTTTTTTAAAACTTTTTTTCTTTCTTTTTTTTTCGCGGAAACAATTCTGACTTAGTCTTAAATTGGGTTGGGTTCATTTCCGAGCCATAACTTGAAAACCTTGCAAATATTTCAACAAAATTTGGCATATGCATTGCTCTTCAACCTAACTGGTGCCTTTTGCTATTTGGAAAATTTTCTTATGTTTATTTTGTTACATTTCCATGGAAACAATTTGACAATAGGCTTCATTTCTGAGCTGTTACTCTCAAACTAATGAATATTTTTTCATGAAACTATACATTTGCATTGACCACATGTGCAACTATTATCTTTTCATATATTTCAATTCTTCATATTTTTAATTTCCTGTTCAATTTAGACTTATTGAAGTGGCGGTGGGCGTGGTTTGTTTGCCTGTCATTGTACCCCGACAGAGTGGGAAGTTGCTCATAGTATCAGTCACTAGTTGTCCGGTCCGTCCTCATAACAGTTTGTCATGTGTGAAATGTTGCTCACTGCAGCTTTGAACAAAACAAAACAAAAAGCTTGACATCTAATTAAAAGAAATAGGTTGTTCAGACTCAATGACTTGCTGGGTTGTGTGCCATGGTACCAAATGGCGTGGGGGTTTTTCTGGCCCAGGGTCTGGTTTCTATGTTAAAGTGTGGGAGTTATGGTCATCCTTGCGTTAACTTTGCAGAATGCAGCGCAGACTCAATTGTTTACAGACAGATAGGATGTAGCTGGAAAGTTGTCGACTGCAGCCTTGAACAGCATTCATTCAATTAGGCTTGTGTCCACTCTCTCTGGAACCGCGGTCTGCTAGGAACAATTGATACACGATTGTCTAAAAATCCGGTTTGTGTACAGGCGTTATTGACATACACTGTGATGTTTACTGGCTGATCAGCTATGTAGGACCAACCATCAACGCCCCGCGGACTCTCACAAGGAAAGACCATCTCCGTGGTCTAGTACCAAAAAAAAGGCCTGGGTTTTGATTCCCGTCCGCGACATACCAAAAGACGTTAACAGATGGTACTTGTTGTTACCCTGCCTGGCGCTCGGAATTAAGGGGTCAGCTCGGAGTCAGTATTCTGTGTCTGAGCTGGGTATTCGTGTTAAACTGCGGCAAGGTATCTCTTTAACTATATCACTATAACATCGGCATTAGTCCGGACTAGTGCACACGCACGCACACACATACCATTTCAAGGAAATGAAACAGCAAAGAGAAAAGACGGAATGCTTGGAACTGTTCTAAGTATCACTTTGGTCCCTGCATTTCACGTAACAATACTGTCTTGAAAACTTCATAAATTTACATTAAGTTTACTAACTTAGGTAACATGATGGTGTAAGCGTTGGATGATCATAACGATGACCCGGTTCGCCAAACATATTCCAGCTATAACACGCCAAACATATTCCAGCTATATAACATGTAACCGACGCCAAACATATTCCAGCTATATAACATGTAACCGACGCCAAACATATTCATACTATAACACGCCAATCATATTCTGAACACAGAAAATGTACCACAAGAAGCCTATTCCCATTACTCCTATCAACCTCTTAAAACGTGTACATTCCACTGTTAAAACAAAGAATATGACCGATGGTTTGACTAATTCCTAGTCCGTTAATCATATGTGCACATCATTGGTATAATCTGGCGTTCCCGTCGGTGACAACGGATACACGTTGTTGTCTCTGACGTTGGTAGTGACATCGTTCCTGCATCTGTTGTTGGCACTGGTATGTGTGATAACAAAAAAGAGAATTTTAAAGGAGACATTTCTCCGGCAATATGGTTTAACTTTGTTCATTGTTTGGAAAGTAACGTTGTTAAGTACCGCCGCCGATTTGAATGAATACCTAATAGTAGGAATAATTTAAAGAAGAGAGATAACAAAAAAGTTTTATCTTTCATCCACCATACTCTCTTAAAAAAAGAAACGCACAGGTAGATTTTTTGTAAATTTACAAATTGTATCTTATAAAGTCGATATATTTAATTTAATATCATAGATACAAATATGAAATTTTGGAGCTTAATAGTCACATGTTGTCTTTGTACAAAGGCATTGTACATTGTCATGTCACATAAGGCCACAAGGTTGCGCTGAACTCAGTAACCGATCCGGGCAGCAATCACGGCACTGACTGGATAAGTGTACGAATTCTGTTCTGCGGAATTCTGCGCCATTCTGCTTGTAAAGAGTTTGCCAGTTATGGGAGTGTCTGCGGCGTGTTCTGACGTTGACGTACACGTCGGTCAAGTACAAGCCTCAAAAGATTAGTTCCTGACATTCTGGTCCGATATCTTCCTCAAACCAGGGATGCGTCATGCAGTCTCCGTAGCTGAGGCATTGCGATGACGTAGGTGGACCAGGTGGGGTGAGGTGAAATTGGGTTTAACGTCGCGTCCAAGATTATTGTACTTATATAGCGACGTGCATGCACACGTATTTGTGTGTGTGTGTGTGTGTGTGTGTGTGTGTGTGTGTGTTTTAGCCCCTTAATGCCGAGCGCCAGACAGGTTAACAACAAGTACCATCTTTTAACGTCTTTTGGTATGACGCGGCCGGGGATCGAACCCCGGACCTTCCGCTCTCCGGGCGGACGCTCTACCACTTGACCACGGAGGCGGCCTCGTAAGTGGAACAGTCGAATGTAGCGATCCTGTGCAGGGGTGGTAACTCTTGGTCGGCCGGTTCTCGGACGGTCTGCAGTGGAATTGAACTGTGTGTATCGGTCGCAAAGGCGGCAAATGGTGTTGTGGTGGACGTTGAAGTGGCGTGCAACAGAAGACTGCAATTCTCCTCTTTGGTTTGTTGTTTGGTTGGTTTGTTGTTTAACGCCGCACTCAGCAATATTCCAGCTATATCACGGCGGTCTGTAAATAATCGAGTCTGGACCAGACAATCCAGTGATTAATATCATGAGCCACGTTTCCTTTTTTTGATGAGTGTATGTTGTCTTAGGCATTTTATAATGGATTCTCTTACATTAATAACTGGAACTGTTTTAATGTCATATTTAAAGACATGTGGAAATTTTATCTCTTTCGAAAACAATCAACTCGCATTTCAAAGTTTTAAATGGTTATATATTTTAACATGCTTCAAAGTGTATTTGACTATTTCAGGTTAGGTTATTGGAAACTTGAGAGGAACCATTTCCGTTAAGGCTTCGGGAAGTTTAATTTCAAGGGAGGAAACTCTTGTGTACTTAGCAAATGATCGGCGCGTACTCGGCTCCGGTGATTCAGTCATCAAAGAGGCCGTGAATGGTACTCGTCACGATGTCAACGATTCCCATAATATGTGTTCCGTTCGTGATTATAAAAAGAGTTCTTACGAAATTATTTACTAATTAATGTGAGTAAGGTACAGTAAGGTGTAGGACCTGTCCCTCCACCACAAGTCTGTAGTCTATCCGCGCTTCTATTCTTCAATTGTAAATAAGGTTGGTAGGGTGGGGTGAAAACCTGTATATCACCACTGTAGTGAACAGACCAAATGTATATCCCCACTGTGGTGGAGACAGAAAACCTGCATAACCCCCTTGTGGTGGAGAGAGAAAACCTGTGTACCCCCACTGTGGTGGAGAGAGAAAACCTGTGTACCCCCACTGTGGTGGAGAGAGAAAACCTGTGTACCCCCACTGTGGTGGAGAGAGAAAACCTGTGTACCCCCACTGTGGTGGAGAGAGAAAACCTGTGTACCCCCACTGTGGTGGAGAGAGAAAACCTGTGTACCCCCACTGTGGTGGAGAGAGAAAACCTGTATATCCCCACTGTAGAGGAGTGAGAAAACCTGTATATCCCCACTGGTGGAGAGAGAAAACCTGTATACCCCCACTGTGGTGGAGAGAGAAAACCTGTATATCCCCACTGTGGTGGAGAGAGAAAACCTGTATATCCCCACTGTAGAGAAGTGAGAAAACCTGTATATCCCCACTGTCGTGGATAGAAAAAACCTGTATACCCCCACTGTGGTGGAGAGAGCAAACGTGTATATCCCCACTGTGGTGGAGAGAGAAAACCTGTATATCCCCACTGTGGTGGAGAGAAAAAACTTGTATATCCCCACTGTAGAGGAGTGAGAAAACCTGTATATCCCACTGGTGGAGAGAGAAAACCTGTATACCCCCACTGTGGTGGAGAGAGAAAACTTGTATATCCCCACTGTGGTGGAGAGAGAAAACCTGTATATCCCCACTGTAGAGGAGTGAGAAAACCTGTATATCCCCACTGTCGTGGATAGAAAAAACCTGTATACCCCCACTGTGGTGGAGAGAGCAAACGTGTATATCCCCACTGTGGTGGAGAGAGAAAACCTGTGTACCCCCATTGTGATGGAGAGAGAAAACCTGTATACCCCCACTGTGGTGGAGAGAGAGAAAACCTGTATATCCCCTATGTGGTGGAGAGAGAAAACCTGTATACCCTCACTGTGGTGGAGAGAGAAAACCTGTATATCCCCACTGTAGAGGAGTGAGAAAACCTGTATATCCCCACTGTGGTGGAGAGAGAAAACCTGTATACCCCCACTGTGGTGGAGAGAAAAAACCTGTATACCCCCACTGTCGTGGATAGAGGAAACTTGTATATCCCCACTGTGGTGGAGAGAGAAAACCTGTATATCCCCACTGTGGTGGAGAGAGAAAACTTGTATATCCCCACTGTGGTGGAGAGAGAAAACTTGTATATCCCCACTGTGGTGGAGAGAGAAAA